AAAGACACCGGTCAGTTTTCTTTTTTTTTTTTTTTTTTTGTCTTTTTCATTTTTATCGGTACCGGGGATCGAACTCACGACCGCCTGCTTGCAAGGCAGGTGCTTATGCCGCTGAGCTAAACCCCCAGCCCCTGTCACCGGTCAGTTTTCCAGGCACCCTAAGTCTGGGGTCATCTGACGCTGTAAGTTCCTTGTTCTGTCCTAAGTCAGGAGGTCCCAGGAAGCCCTGAGAAGTGACAGGGAAACCTGCCAGGATGGAGGGGAGGGCTCTGGAGGGTCTGTGGGTTTGGAGTTCAGATCTCCTGGATGGGGTAAATATAGGCATCTGATGGGACTTTTTTTTTCTTTTTGGAGGCAGGGTCTCACTATGTAGCCCAGGCTAGCTTTGAACTCATGGTGATCCTCCTGCCTCAGCCTCCCAAGTGCTGGGATTACAGGTGTGCGTCACCATGTCCGGCTGATGGACTTCTAATAGCAATAAAATACTTACTTCTGTTTATTAAAAGCCATGTTCTGGCCTTGTGCCAAGCATTTATTTGTTTATCTTTGGCTTTTTGAGACAGGGTCTTGCTATGTAGCCCAGGTTGGCCCTGAACTTTTGGAGGTCCTCCTGCCTCCACCTCTTAAGTGCTGGGATCCAGGTGTGAGCGAGCCACCACGCCTGGCTTGGTGTCAAGCATTTTTGTGTATGTGTGTCAAGCAATTTAAATGTATCACCGCTGCTTTCAGACCTCACAACACAGCAGTCACAGCTAACACCTGTCTGACATTTTTACTAGGCACCAGGCACTCTTCTGGGCGTTCGGCAAAAACTATTTAGCACATTCTTGATCCTCATTACACTTAGCAAATTAGCCACTGTTGTTCTACCAATGAGGGAACTGAGGCACCAAGAGGCTATGTGACTTGCCCAAGCTTGCAGAGCTGGGCGGGGAATGCTGCATGCAGGTCCGTGGGACCCCTGGACCCGGGCACTCCCCACAGCGCCTGTGCCAGGCGGGGGCATCCGGATCCGGGAGGGAAGCGCTGCTGTGGCCTCATCCTGTTTCCCAGGGGTGCACAGCTGTCAGGCGATGGTGTCCCCACCCTGCAGGCCCCTGGGGCCAGGAGCCAGTGGGTGGTCCCGCAGCTCCTGGATGGGGTACCACTGGTTAACTGGAGCTCTGGCCTTCAAACAGAGAGGCAGATGAGTGGAGTGCTGGGGACACAGACAGTGACGGGGACACTGAGAAGGGGCTGCTGTGTGTGCCGACTGCCCTCCCCGTCCCTCCTCTCCAGGGCCTCTGCCTTCTGTGTGCTGACAAATTCAGAGCCTGTGTGGCTTCCTCCCGCCCGTGGTCCTCTCGGTCCTAAGCACCTGCTCACTCTGACTGCCATGGCTGGCCCAGCTTATCCTTTCTTCTCCCTCTGCCCTGGGGACCCTGCTCTTCCAGAAGGTTCTGCCCTTGTTCTCCTCCAGCTATGTGCTGCTCCCTGTGCTGATCTGAGGCCTTGAATAGCTCCCGTGTGCCACCATGGCCCAAGTCCCGGCTTTGCCCCCAATCTGTCCTGAGCCAGGGCACTGCCACCTAAGAAGCCCCAGTGGTTCCCTGGCGGGGTAGATGTGAAGCTGGAGGACACACGGTCACCACCAGTGTCCTCTCCGACCCCTCCATGGCTCCAGGCCCCAGGTAGACACAGCTGTGTGGTCCTGCTAGTGCCATCTTCTGCCACTGGAGCCCCAGCTCCTGCAGGTCCAGCTCCCCTTTTTCAAGGACTTCCGGACTCCCAGGGTAGGTTGCCGCAGCCTTGGGGGTGTTGACTGTGGCCTCTCATCATGAGCTTCTGGATCCTACCTGCACCTCCCCTGGAGATTGAGTTGCCCTGAAGACAGGATGCTTAGGTCTATGTGTGTCCCCAGGGGCTCATCCAGGGGTGAACTCCTGGGCTGAACCCTCACTGAGGAAGAGCAGGAGCTGGGATGGTGGTGAGTGCCTGTAATCTCAGTACTTAGGAGGCTGAAGCAGGACAACTGCAAGCTTGAGGTCAGCCTGGGCTGCTTAGCAAGACTTACCTCAAAATCAAAAATTTTAAAAAAGGGCTGGGGATGTAGCTCAGGTGAAGGCCCTGGGTGCAAGCTTCAGTACTGCAGGAGGAGGAGGAGGAGGAGGAGGAGGAGGAGGAGGAGGAGAAAAGGGGGCAGGGGAGGAAGCTGACCAGGTTACAGAGAAGACAGGCTTGGTGGTGGCTTTCAGACAGAGGCTCAGGTCCAGAGTTCCTGAGAAAGGTCTTGGCTGGAGACAGGAGCATGTGGTTAGTGCAACTGGTGACAAACACAGGGTGAGAGGCCAAGGTCACCCCAAGAGAAGGCGCAGAGAATAACAGGACCGGAGAGCTGGTGCAGAGCCCGAAGTGCAGCGTCAGAGGTTGCGTGGCAGAGGAGCTGGGCAGGCGGGCAGAGGGCAGGTGGCTGCGGATGAGGGTGCTCCCCACGACCCGCCCCTCTGGCCTTCAGGCCCTGCTGCTGGCCTGTCCCCTGGCGCCTGGGATGGCTCTGTGACATTTTGACTAACCCGGTGCAGCTTCCCAAGCCTGATGAGCGGAGGTGTAGCAAAGGACTCCACCGGGTTTCCTCCCTTTCCCAGTCTCGTTCTCCCTTCCCCGTCCCTCTCCTCCCCTCCCCTCCTCCTTTCCGGTACTGGGGATTGAACCCAAGGCTTTTGCACTGTATCGACATCTTTTTTTTTTCTCCACAAACAAGGTTTTGTTGTCATTATCTAGGCTGGGTTCAGACTCGATTCTCCTGCTTTGGCCTCGCTAGTGCTGGGACACCAGGCGTGTGTCACCATGCCTGGCTTCCGCTTGGGTTTCTTGAGACTCTAAGGGAGACTGAGTACCGTGTAGGAAGTCGGACTGCAGACTGTCCTAGGTGGGGGGCAGCCACGGGAAATGGCCACAGGGATTCAAGGATATCCCAGCTAAGCATCAGATCTATAAGGAAGACATCACCCTGGACAATCAGCCCGGGTCCTCTAGTCCTGGCCACCATTTGACCATAACTGCAGGGCTGGAAATAGAGCTCAGTGATGCAGTGCCAGCCTGGCAAATGCAAGGTCCTCAGTGTGACTCTCAGTACCCTTCCCCCGCAAAAGTGACCATAACTGCAAAAGGGACACCAAGAGAATGGTCCAGGTGAGTCGGCTCCACCCATGGGACCGAGAGTAATAACAGAAACTATTATTCTAAGCCATGAGGTGGTAGCTTTCCCAGGCCTGGGGAGAGACAGGACTGCTCCTGTTTAACAGATGGAAAGCCAGGCGATGGTGGACCCTGTAATCCCAGCACTCGGGAGGCTGAGGCAGGAGGATCATTGCGAGTTTGAGACCAGCCTGGGCTACAAAGTGAGCTCAAGCCAGCCTGAACTGTATGGTGAGACCCTGTCTCAAAAAAAGACAAAAAACTAAACACCGCACATGAGGGATGTCAGCAGTGTCCTGGAGGCAGCTGGAGAGACAGCAGCCAGACAGGGTGGCCTGGGCCAGACTGCAGCCACATGGAATGGGCCAAATTCCTCGTGTGACTGGGGCAAGGAGGTTTTCCCCTGGTGGCTGCCTGGGCACCTGCTGGAACCCTGGCTTGTTCTTTTTCTTTGCCTGGTTAGGGATGGAACCCAGGGCCTCATGCCTGATGGCGAGTGCTCTACCACTGAGCTACATCCCAACCCGGGATGCTTTGTTTTTACTGTGGAGGACCGGATGACCGATGACAGGCAGCATCTTTTTTCACGCTGGCCTGGTTTGTTTTTTCCTGCTCATAGCCCTGGGGACAGAGGTGGGTGGGGAGGCCCGTGAGTCAGAGGCTGCTCAGCCAGGTGAGAGAGGGGCTGAGGCAGTGACGGAGGCCAAGGATGGGGGCTGGGGTGGGGCGTGCTCAGCCCCTGGACCCAATTCTGAGGGTGCAGTGCTGCCAACTGCAGACTCCCATCTCCCAGAGGCTTGGTGGCGCACCTCACCAGGACAGGGAGTCCCGGGCAGGCTGGGGTCTGGCCTCGCCATCCTTTGTGGCAGACAGATGAGACATGGCCACTGTGGGAACTTCAGCCAATGCTTTCTGCAGGCCGTGGCCCCTTTCAAAGTGAGGAAGAGATGGGGGTGGAGATTTAGCTCAGTGGCATAAGCACCAGCCTGGCAAACACCAGGTTCTGAGTTCAATCCCTGGTACAAAAATAAGTGAGGAAGACCTGGATGGCCCCCTCTGCCCACCCAGACTCCCTGTGCATCCCCAGGCTGAACCACATGCCCTGCCCGAGGGCAAGCACCAGGGCTTCCCTTCCCCACACTCCTCTGAGCTGGGTGCTCTCCGCTGCTGCACCCTCTGCCCGCAGTGCCCTCCTGACTTTCCCATGTGAAAAACTGGGTTCCAGAACTGCTCTCCAAAGCAGCTGCAGGCTGGGCTTTCCTCAGGGTTCCCACAGCCTTCAGGGACCCACCACATGTTTGTGTAGCTCAGCTACACATTATTGAACCCTGCAATTGTGATGGGACATCTGTCCTGGGCCCAGGATGGCCACCCCTCCACACACACACATTGGACAAGGCCTCCATTCAGGTCTAGGGCTAGAAGAAAAACCCACTTAAGGCTCCAAGCTAGGGTGTGACCTGCCAGAGGCTGTGGTCAAGGTCGGCCTCACTTCCAGCCCCACTTCTGAGGCCTGGGCCCCTGGGCCCTGTTACAGAGCCCAGAATATGAGGTGACATGACTCCCCAGGGACACAGTAGAGGGTGTGACCCCTGGGGACACGCCATGAAAGGCACATTCTGATTTAGGAGGTCGGGGTGGGCTGGACTCCCTGCTCCCACATGGGAATGTCATAGTCCTCACCCTGTGGAAGAACTCACCCTGTCTTCAGAAGCCCACAGCCACCAGCAGCCACCAGCAGCCACAGTGGGAAGGGCAGGGTGTGTGCACTGCTGTAAAAAACCCTAATCTCTGTGCTCCTCCCTGCCTGACTACCCGCGACATCAGAGCTGCAGGAACATTTTATTAAGTTAAGAAGGTTTGTGGAATGGGGCTGGGAATTTAGCTCAGTGGCACAGCACCTGCCTGGCAAGCGTCAGGTCCTGAGTTCAATTCCCGATACCCTCCCCCCACAAAAAAACAAACAGGTTTGTGGAGGAGAGGTGCCTTCATGGGTGACACCAACGGTTCTACACCCAGCATCCCTCAGGGGGATGTGGGGCTGCTGGCTCCCTCTGTTCCTCTGCCCCTCTATCCAGAGCCCCAGAGTGCGAGTGCACCCCAGGCAGGAAGTCGTTAGTAGGAGGTAGGGTGGGAAGAGGGCGCTGGCTCTGACTCTCCTGGGCAGCATCCATCACCAGGGCCACGGCCCAGAAGCCCAGGCAGGGGCCACAGCAGAACCGGATGCCACTAGGATTTGCTTTTTCAAAAAGTATAAAGAGTTTGGGAGGAAAAAAAAATCTATATAAAAATCTCTTCACATATAAAATCCTGAAGAAGGTGCAAGGTAAGACCCAGTGCGAGGGGCATGCTCAGATACGCCGGTGTTTGTGTGTGTGCGTGCTGGTGTGTGTGTGCATATGTGTGTGCTTGTGTATACCTGTGTGTGTGTTGCAGGTGCGTACACACCCTTGGCCCATAGGAGGGGGGAGGCTTGGCGTCTGACTTCCCTCCATCAGGGAAGGAGGCCGCTGGTCCCCTTGGGTTAGGGTGTGCAGCTGGCTGGGCCAGGAGGACCTGGGAGACGAGGGTGGATGCTGAGGGCTGGGGAGGCCGCCCAGCAATGGGGGTGACCAGGTCCTTCCCTGCAGGCTGCCTGGGCTGTTTCTCCCAGTGCAAAGACACACAGCACCAGAAGCCACTTGGGAGATGGGTGTGGGTGGGTGCAGGCTTTGTGGCGTCCGTAGCGCCCATCTCTACTCCGCCAGGCTATTGGACATGGCTTCCTTCTCCTGCAGGGCGGCCATGGCAAGCCGCAGGTGCTCCTTCAGCTGCTCGATCTCCTGCTCAGACCTTGTCTTGATGTGGTTCAGCTCCACATACACATCCTGGTATTTTCCCGAGGTGACGCGCTTGTCCTGGGGGGTGGGGGAGGAGGTGCCACCATGCCTGTGCTGCTCCCTGCTGGCCAGCACAGAGAGGCCAGCCCTGGGTCTATCACCCCAGCACTTCCTGGTGACCTGGGGCTCAGGGAAGCGAATGGCCCAGGGCACGTGTCTGTGCCTGAACAAACGCTCTGCTCACCAAAGGCAGTGATCACTGTGCCCCTCAGAGCCACCAGTGTGGTCACTTCCTGCCTCAAAATGGTCAAAGACCCAGCAGCCAGAGGTGGCCAGGCTGGCCACAGGCTGAGACCTGGGCTGGGATCCGGCCTGGACTGGATTGTATTTGACACATGGGTGGACACTCAGGACTGTCCCTCCACAGCTGTATCCCCAGCACCAGCATGGTGCGTGGTACATAGGAAAGTCAGCAGCAACCAGAGAGTAAAGTAATGCCGAGCAGGCAGAAGTGTGGCCTTGCCACTTCCCCTTTCCTGTCTACATTTCCCCGTCCCTGCCTGGAGGCAGCGTGGATGCCTCGGTGGGAGCCATGAAGAGACCCGAGGAGAGGCTGAGGGAGCGGCTGCTCCCAGGCTGGGCCCCCGGTGGCCAGCGCGGCCCCTGCACGGCTGGCGCTCGGCGGGCACCCACCTTCTGCATGGTCTGCAGCTCGTCCCGGAGGCACTGCACCTCCTTCTTCAGGTACTGGAGTTGGCTCTCTTTCACCCGCAGCAGCACCTGGGGATACGCGGCCAGGCTGACCCAGGGCCAGAGGCCGGAGCCCCTCAGGCCTGCAGCGCCCACAGCCTGGCTTCTCCCTGCCTCGGCCTGCCCCAAGACACCCCCCACCCTCTGCAGACTTCCTGGGGTGCTGCTCTGACCTCTGCCATCTCTGCCGTGGCCCCAACAGAGCATCAGAGCCTCCACAGGGGTGAAAGAGGCAAAAGGAAGCTGTGCTGGGGCCCTGTGGGTCAGGCCATGTGGCGTGGTGGGCGACCCCATGGGTCCTCCCGGTCTGAGGGGCCATACTGCTGACGTGACGGGGGGAAGCAGGGACCAGGACGAGAGCCAGGCAGCCGGGTTCAGCCCCACACTGACGGGGACCTGACCTCCGAGGCAGCTGACAGCCATGTGGGCTTCCTGATTGTCACCCGGGATAGTGACAGCATTTAGCCCATGGGGCTGTAAGGAAAATGAGACGGGCAAACAAAGGCCTTACAGGAGTTCATGCACAGATGAATGTTTGCTAATAAAATATACAGATCTCACTCCAGCCTCCCCACCCATGTAAGGAAGATGCTGACCCATTGCACAGATGTGCTATGGGGGCTCTCAAGGGCAGGATGACCTGCCATGGCCGCACAGCAGGTAGGGGACAGGACTCACGCTGCTGGGTGTGCTGTGGGTAGTGCCATGTTGGCCTGGGCCCTGCCCCTCAGAGGCTTGCGCCCCTCTGTGGGGAACCCCGGCCCCGGGAAGCTGCTCACCTCCAGCTCGCAGGAACTCCGCTTACTGCTGCGCCCACAGCTGTTGCTGGTGCCCTGCGAGGCCACGAAGCTGCGCAGTCGGTCTATCTCCTCGGAGAGGCGCGCGTGCAGCTCCTGCGGGAGGCGCAGTGGTCAGGGCAGGAGGCGCGGTGGTCAGGCTGGAAGGCGGCCCGAGCCCATGCCTGCTTCGAGGCCCACCTGGTTGTGGCGCAGCAGCTCCTGGCCCTCCTGCTGGCAGCGCTGCAGCGTGTCCTCCCGCTCCTCGGCCTGCTGCGTCAGCGCCTCGATCTCCAGGCACTTCTGCGAGTACTGCTCCGACAGCACCTGCAGCTCCCGCTTCAGCGCCTCCTCGTCGGACCTGAGCCACAACCAGGGCGCGGTGGGCGCGCACGCCCCACCAAGGCCTTGGGTTCTCCCCACGGGGCTGCCCTGGGCCGGTGTGGGCCATGAGCAAGGACAGCCGCTCCGGGCGGTGGATGCGTCCTCGCAGCCAAGCGGCCTCTCCAAAGGCCCCAAAGCCCACCTAGTCCAGACTGTGCTGGGACAGGAGAGACACCTACTGGCCAGGCAGGACACTGCAGCCCAGCTCTAGGAGACAGACGGGAGGGGAGATTAACGCCAAGACAAGTAGGGCCTCTTCGGGGGCTGCCTAGGGCCCTGGGCCTCCCCTCCTATGTGGGGCTGCAATGGGGTTTCAGCTAGGGGGACCCACATGTCCTCTGCCCTGGGCCTGAGCAAAGTCCCCAGCTACCCACCGTGACCCAGGGGCCCCGGGGCCGCCTTACTGGTGCTGCTTCCGGAGGCCATCGGGGCCCTGCTGGAGACTCCGGGTTTTGCTCAGCTCCCGGTTCAGTTCCTCCTGGTGGGCCTTCTCCATGGCCTTGATGGCTGGAGCAGGGAGGAAGGAAGAGGTGGAGGAGGATGGAGAGGAGTGACAGATGCCAAGGCGAAGGTGGGACAGGGAGCCGGGTGCAGAGCACTGGACCCGGGGCCACAGCCATGCGGGCTGTCCTCTCTGCCCCTGTGCCTGCCATGGGACGAGGTACTCTCCTGGGAAGACACCTCAGTGTCCAACTGCTGACACCTTTAGCTGCTAGTGGCTTCTGTTTGAGCCCCACAGTGGGCACCATCCCCAAAAGCCTCTCAGAGAAAAGTCTGTTCAGAGGAACAGCACCCGTCTGCTTTGCCCGGTGTGGGGTCCAGAGCCTGGGCTCTGCAGCCAATGTCCATCTGTCTGCTCAGGACCCTCATATGGAAAGGGGGACAGAGGCTCCTTCTCTGCAGGTCATTACTGAAGCTGTGTGCAGCATGTGCATAATGTGCCCGGCAGAGTGAAGCCTGGCTTGGGGGCTCTGTCACTCAGACTGTGGGCTCCTGAGGACTGAGCTGTTTCCACGTCACATAGGGTTGTGCTAAGAATTAAATCCTCATCCAGTTTTACCCACGCTCTTTTTTGCGGGGGAGGAGAGGCAAGGTCTCACTCTGTAGTTCCAGCTGGCCTCAGACTATGTATCCCAGGCTGGCCTCAAACTTGTGATCCTCCTGCCTCAGCTTCCAGGTCACTATGGCTGGTTTATCCACAATTTCAAAATCCACAAAGCTGAGCTGGGGGTTTAGCTCAGCGCCATAAGCCTTGCAAGCAGGTGGTTGTGAGTTCGATCCCCGGTACCGATAAAAATGAAAAAGACAAACAAAAAAAAAAAAAAAAAAAAAAGGAAAATCCAAAAAGCTTTGAACACTGAAAGCTTCTTGTCACCCTCCTGGTGGGTGACCCCCAGTGCCCAGGGACAAACGACTACTTATGATCCTTCTTGTTCCACAGCAGTTTCCCTGTGACACTTTAATGCTGGGTTACAGAGTGACACCTGGTCCCTGCTACGGTATGGGTAACCCTTATCTGCAGCCTGCACTAGTGACCTCCCTAGATGAAGGCACCAGGCCCCACGGTTGGACAGGGGGACCGTGAGTGAGTGCATGAAGTGCTTGGCCAGTGCTGGCGGGACTCAGGCTCCAGATCGCGTCCTCTCCTCATGCCGTTAGCCTGCAGACCCTGGGGGTGCCTAGGACATGCCAGGCACATGCGGGGGTGGGCTGGGGGGCCATACTGGGCACTTCCTGTTTCTGACTTTGGGGGTGGTGGTTGGTTACAGAGTGGCTTTGCAGTCAGAAGGTTCTGGCTCTGACCCCAGCTCTGCTACCTTGAGGCTGCACCCTTTGGACAGGTCACTGACCCTCTCCGGGGCCTGGCTTCCTCACTCGTGAAAGGGGCTGCTCTGTGGGGCCTTGTGAGTACTCAGGGGCTCTCCTGAGGCATGTGTGGGACACAGAGCTGGATCCATGTGTCTAGCCATGGTGTACAGACCCGAGGGAGAGGAGTCACTCTGTTGCAGAAAGATCTCTCGCTGCCTCAGTTTCTCAGTGCCTCCTTTTTTTTGTCTTTTTGAGACAGGGTCTCGCTATGCAGTTCAGGCTGGCCTTGGGCTCACTTCTCGCAGCCTCCTGAGTGCTGGGATTACAGGACTGTGCCACCGTGCCCAGCTAGTTTCCTCCCCTTTGTGAGTGGACCTGGAGCCCAGCTCAGGGGGCTTCCAACCTCAGATGACACCTCACCCCAAGTCTGACCCCAGCAGCCCCACCTCTGCCTTAAAACCTCCCTGCACCTCCTGGTCCTCACCCGAGACCGTGGCCGCCCTCTCCTCGTCCAGCAGCCGCTCCTTCTCCTGTTGCAGCCGCTGCAGCTCACGCTCATGGTGGCGCCGCAGCTGCTCCATTGCCTGCTGGTGTGAGGATTCCATCTCGGCCAGGCTGCGCTCACAGGTCTCCTGGGGGCCAGAGGCCGGGTGTCAGGGCTGTCCTTGCTGCCCCCAGTGGCGCTGCTAAGTGAGGAGCCTCGGGGACAGGCTCACAGCTGGCCCCAGAGCTGGGGCCACCAGCCTGCACCTGCCCCCACTGCCCCATCCCCAAACCTCACTGGCCACTGTCCCACCTTAAGCTTCCTGAGGGGCCTCTGTCCTGCTGGGTAAGAGCCCCAGTCCATGGTGGCCTTTGTGGCCCCATCACGGCCTGGCCCTTTCTACGAAGCAGCCTCTGAGCTATAGTTCGCACGCCTCCCAAAGCCTGGAACATTCTTCCGCACCGTTCTCGCCCTGGCTGGCTTACTTTGCTTGCAGCCAAGGTGCAATTGTCCTCCTACCCTGGGCTGGCCCCTCCCCGGCCTCTGCCTGACCATAATACCCAGCCTCGTCCTGGGCGCACGCCAGGTGCTTAGTCACCGAGCTGAAACTGGTGACAGTACAAAACAGGGCTTTGTAGACAGGGTGGGCATGCACTTAAAAGTCTGAGGATGGCCGCTGCTGGGAGCGCCCACTGGGACAGGTGCACGGCTATGTGGTGGCATCGTCACACCGTAACGGCCCTGTCCTTTAACTCAGCAATGAGTCGAAGGAAGTCAAGGGCACGCAGAGACTCAGGGAGCAGAGTATTCCCTAAGGCAAGCCTGGAAACACAGTGGCAATCAAGCTAAGTGCCCAAGTGGGGAAACCTTTAAATAAATGACGGGCTCACACCCTGCAAAGCACCCCAGGCAGCAGCTGGAAGATGGAGGCGCCGTCTTGGAAAGGTGTCTGCGCAGGTGACCCAGAGGCCAGGAACGAAAGCTGCCTCCCCATGACACATATGGTATGGTTCCACTCGGGGAACAGAACACAGGGAAAAATTAACAGCCTCCCTGAGACGCCCATGTCTTACTCCTGGGACCCACGACCAGGTCACATCACACGATAAAAGGTCAATTAAGGCTGCTCATCCGCTGACTTCACATCAGACTATCTGGTGGGCCACAGGAAACCATGGGGGTCCGTAACAGTGACAGCAAGGGCAGGAGACAAGGACTGTCAGAGTGACATAAAGGGACAAGGACTGGACTTCTCGTGGCAGCCGCCAGGAGCCTGAGCAAGAGTGAGCTCCCGAGGGTAAAAGGTCAGCCAGGCAGGAGGGGCGTCAGGATTCTACACCAAGCTGGGCAGGTGAACACCTTTCTGTCATTTAAGCAGCCCTGTGTGACAACCTCACAGCAGCCACGGGAAGCTCATGCATGGGGTGCCATGGTCACCGAGGTGAGCCTGGGGCACCGGGTGGGGAGAAACATGCCCATGTGATGTGAATCATCCTTATTATTTATGAGGTGCTGCTGATGGGACCCAGGGTTTTGCACACGCTAGGCAAGTGTTCTACCATGGAGCTATACCTTCAGCCTGCTGGCTGAGTTACTTTTGGAGGTGTAAATATGTTTCTCATTTTTGGTACCAGGAATCAAACTTAGGACTTTGTGCTTGCCAGGCAGGTGCTGTGCTGCTGAGCTATATGCCCAACCCAAATGTGTTTCTTATATAGTTTAAAAAAAAAAAAGATTCCGGCTGGGAGTGGTGGCGTTCACCTGTAATCCCAGTCCTCAGGGGGCTAAGGCAGGAGGAGTGTGGTGAGTTTGAGGCATGCCTGGGCTACATAGCCTGTCTCGAAAAACAAAACAAAACAAAACAAAGAAAGTGTTTAAGGTCATTAAAAAGGGAGAGGGAAGAGCTAGGGAAGAAGAGAAGCACAGAGGGCCTGAGAGGGCCCCATCCCAAGTAGGGCCTGCTCCCCGCTCCCCTACACCTGTCTGGGGGGAAGAAGGGTCTCCCGGTGCAGGAGGGTGAGTGAGAGGAGGGATGTCTGCTTTGCTGGGCCTCCACGCCCGTCCCCCCTCTTCGGATGACAGATCGAAGCTTTGCAGCCCCACAGCCTGGGTCCCCCAGAGGATCTGAACAAGCCCTGCCTTCTCAGGGCCTTAGCTTTAGCATGTGTCAAGGGGGCTGCACAACACCACCCACGAAGCATCCCAAGCAGCGGCAAGGTCAGCTCAGCCTAGTGCCAAAGGGGTACAGCCTGTGATCTTAAAGGGCCAGAGCAGGCAGGTGGTCCTGGGAATTGAGGGGTGCTGGGGTGATGGCAGGAGGCAGGATTCAGGCCATGAGCAGCGCTCCTAGCAAGCGAGGTGCAGCTCTGCACTGCCTTCCAGAGCGGGAAGAAGTCCCACATGGGCATGCCTCGGACATGAGGTAGATGTCAAAGGTGGATGAGAAGTGCCAGTGCCCCCCAAGTTAGCCCAGAAGGGTTGCGTTGTCAGAGAAGGCACCGAGCACCAGTGTGAGAAGCCCCAGCCCCGATGGCTGTGCTGCGGAGCCAGGGCCGCCCCAGCCCCGTAAGAGGGGCTCCCACTCAGCCTGCAACTTGTTACCCACTCAGGGTCCACAAACTTCCAGCCACCTCCTTCCTGTGCCCCAGGGGGGCTGGCCTTCTCTGCTGCCCTACGCATGTCCCAGATCTCAAATATTTTCAGGCTATTTTCTTCTCCCCTCCCCCACTCACCCAACCTAACAGGGTGGGACATTAAAGGCCTCTGGGCTCCAAAGTCACCCCATCAACTTGCTCTCTGGGCCTCAGTTTCTTCATCTGTAAGTTAGGAAGCCAGAGCAGTGTTCTGCAAATTTCACTTTAATGCCAGAAACCTTTCTCCCAACGCAATGGAAAGCAGGTTCTGATAGCAAAGCAGAGGAGGAAGGAGCTGCTCTAATCCAGGTCAGAGAGGCGACCCTGCCTTCACCCAGAGCGAGGAGGGCATGGCCTCAGGCCCTGGGCAGGGCCTCAGAGGGCTCCCCAGGAGCCAGGCTGCTCTGGGGGCTCAGCCTCCTTGTAGAGGCCCGGCCTAAGGCAGCTTGGACAATACTATATCCCCTCAAGGCCAGGGGACCCCAGGTCCCCACCCCTCAATAAACTCCCCATCCAGGATGGGGACCTTGGGGACCACTGTAGTGCACAGCCCCAGTCTCAAGGTCCCTGTGGGTACCCCTGTGTCCTGGGACCCAGGTGACAAGTCCTAAATCCTTCTTCCTCCTGATGCCCTGCCATCCACGGCCCAGCTCCCTTAGACTGGGCCTTGCACTCCAGGGCCATGTTCCAGGGTCACTGGTGACCTCCTAAGGTCTCTGGAATGAGACTCGGTTTGTCCCTGGAGGCTCTACCACGCCTGCCAATCTGCTGATGTCGCTACTCACAAGCCACTACATGGAGCGGTGCCTGCCCCTCAGGAAACCTTCCTGGAGCTCCCTCACTGTGACCCCCCCCCCCGAAACTTCAAGAAGGACCCTGGGCATTCCAGCATTCTTTCTTCTTTGGGCAATCATGTGCTGATGGCAGGCAGGGGACTCAAATTTTTAGAAATTTTGTCTTGGTTGCTACGCAAGGCCTTTCTGTTTTGCTTTGTTGGAGACCTGCTATGTAGCTCCTGCTATGTAGCTCAGGCTCGCCTTAAACCTATTAGTACAGCAGACTGGCCTCAGACTTAGAGGCCGTTCTCCTCCCTCAGCTCCTGAGTGCACTGCCACGTCCACGGCAGGGGCCATTTAAAAAATTTAAATGTATATAATTACAATCAAGTATATTCACAGCAAAAGTAACAGGTCCTCAAACTTTGCTGCTCCATGTTTCTCAGTATTTTTTTTCCTTAGTTCATAGCACTGTGCTATTTTATTTTATTTTTGTTACCAGGGTTCGAACTCATGACCTCGCGCATGCCAGGCAGGCGCGTGTGCTGCTGAGCGAAATCCCCAGCCCCAGGCCTGTACTATCTTACGTGCGCCTTTGAAGTTACTCCTCTATCCACTTGGCTGTGTGGCAAAAGCACTAGGGAAGGGTGCTGTCGCTTCACGCTCAGAGACTGCACTGGGAGCCTGCTCCTGGCCATAGTGGGTGCTTACACCATGGAAACTGGTAATGTTCCAAACCAGGGCTTCATTTATTGTTTTATGGATTCTCTGAAGCGATGAGAAAGCACTAAGCAGCATGTTGTCTGTATACAGAATGAAAGATTGCATAAATATCCTACTAGAATACTCCGTCTCAAAAAGGTATTCTGGCGCCATTCAGCAGAGAAGTTGCTCACTCACGTCAACCAACAAAAGCAAGTTTTCCTGTCTTCTCGTCTCGCCCATTAGCATAAGCCAGAACACCACCCATGTGCGCAGCAGGCTGTGGATGGATAGACGTGCACAGAAAGCTCACTGAAGGAATTCTGAGAAAAACCCACTTGCTACATGGAAGTCACGAAGAAGTGTCAAGATATTTTTTATTTGTACATTATATACTAAACATCTTTTCTATCAGCAAAATTTATAATAAATATGTATATATACACACATGTATTTTTCTCTGGAGAGCTAGTTGTCCCAATGGTGACAACTAAAAGTGTCCCCAGATGCAGTCAACTGTCCACGGGGGACAAAAGCAGCCCCAGTTGAGAACCACTGTCCTAGGTGGACATGTGCTCACCCCTGGGGCCGATGAGAGCTGGCACGTTGTGCAGGCTCTCCCTGTGCTTGGCAGGGGCGACACCCAGGGCCACTGGCTCCCCACTTCCCCAGGGCGGTGCAGGGGGAGGGGTCCAAGTGCAGAGTGTCACACAGGGACTCACACACAGACTCTGCAGTCCGCCGGACCCAGGCTCAAATCCCACCTCTGACACCTGCAGGCCGGGTGACCTCGGGCAAGTCACACACCCGCTCAGAGCTCAGTGGCCTTGTCTGTAAAATGGGCACAGTGATCATGCCCACCAGCTGTGGGGAGATCAAAGGAGATGATGCATGTCAATGCCACCACACACAGGTCCTGGCACACAGCAAGGAACCCAAAATGGCAACCGTTTTCAGGTAACACAGCAACCAGAAACCTGTCCCAACCCCACGAGACAGTGCCTCGGTCTCACCTGTGAAATATAGCCTGGAGGGATATGGCTGTCCTCCTGAGGCCTGGCCACGTTCTGAGGAGCCTCCCCTCGGGCTCGCCATGCCTCCAGCTGGGCACGAAGAGACTGTACCTATTGGGGAAGTGATCAGATCACTGGGCACCCAAGGAGGCACACAGGGCCTCCAGCTCCACACCACTTCAAGTGCAGACCCCTGGCTGCTAGGCGAAGCTCTGATTTTTGTGGAGGGACGTCTTAGCCAGAGGTGAGGGGACACACCTGTGATTCCAGCACTCGGGAGGCTGAGGCAGGAGGTCTGCCTTGAGTTTAGGCCAGTCTGGGCTATATAGTGAGTTCAAGGCCAGCCTGAATTACACAGCAAGAGCTTGTCTCAAAGAACCCAAAAAGCGGGGATATCACGGCTGTGTCCTGGACGGCGAGGTGGATGACCTGGGAAAACCTCGGCCCACAGACCAAAGTCAGGGTTGGGCACAGCACACTCACTGCAGTCGGTTATCAACTACACTGTGATGGCAGCTGGGGAAATATCTCTGAGCCTCAGTTTCCCCATCAGTGAAGAGGGATCCCAAGTGGGCTCACAAGAGGCTGAGCACACAGGAGATGTACGATAAATAACCGGTCCCACCCCTGGCTTCCCACTTCCGTTCTCTGTGGCTATTAAAGGCAGAGCTAGGAAGGAAAAAACAGAACAGAACAAAATAGAACAAAACAAAACACCACAGTCCTGGAAAGAAGATTGTTATTCGCGAGGAGCCTCAAGTACCAGATGGTGAAGATAAGGAGTGAGCTCCCCATCACAGTGCGTATGCAAGGCCAAGGCCAGGGTGCGCAGGGACTGGAGGGGCGCAGTATGAGGGGCCTACCTCCTTCTCCAGGGCCTCGTGGTTGTCACTCGGGGGTGCCCGGCGCTCACTGCGGCTTTGGTTGAGTAGGGCAGTGAGTGGCACCCGCTTGTTGTCCCTGAGGGGCAGCTTCTCCAGCTCCTGCCACTTCTTTTCAATCTCCTCGCTGAGCCGGCTCTGCTGGTCCTCGGTCAGTGGGGCACCGAGGCCCCGGCGTGGTGCCTCGCCAGGGGGTGTCTCGGGGGCTCGGCTATCTGTGGCCTCGAACCACCTGCGGCGTTCCTCGGAGCGCTGGGCCAGGTCCCGCTCCAGCTCCTCCTGCTTGGCCGGGGTTCGGGCCCGCTGCGGGCTGCCCTGGGTCAAGGGCGAGAGCTCCACATAGTCCAGCAACTGCCGGGACCCATCCGCCTTGCGGGGTCCACTGCGCCCGCTGACCTCAGAGCTGGCCCGCTGCTCCCCCGCCTTCAGGGATCCCTTCTGGGGGCCGTAGCCATGCAGCGTGTTCTCCTTGTTGCAGTCCGAGAGCCTAGGACGCCAGCAGGGACCCATCAGGGGGATCTGGGCCACTCGAGAGCACCTCTGGCACCAGCCCTGCCCACAGGGACCCCAGCAGGCAAGCAGCGCCCCCCAAGACTGAGCTCCAGCATCACAGTCAGTGGACCCTGGAAACAGCCCAGCTCTGCCACTTTTCAGAAGGGGACCCACGTGTCTGCCTCCCTGCCCTACTTGGAGTCTCAGTCACCTCATCTGTAATATGGGACAGAACTACCATGCATAACAGAAATTCAAGGGCTGAGTGAGCAAATGTGTGCAAAGCAACCAGGGAGCCCTCAGCCAGCACTGTCAGCGTGTTACTATTAGAAGTATAAAAACGGCACAGCATGGTGGTACATGCCTGGAATCCCAAGACTCTGGCAGGCTGAGGCAGGAGAACTGCCAAGTTTGAGCTCAGTCCAGGCAACTGAGTGACTAAGCAAGACTTCATCTCAAAATTCAAAGTAAAAGATAAAAAAGGGCCAGGAATACAGCTCAGTGTGAGGGCCCTGGGTGTGATCTCAATACCACACATGGAAAAAAAGTATGGAACACAGTAATGTGTGAGCAGAGGCTCTGAGCCCAAGAGGCTCACAGAGGCAGGGGCTGTCACAGTGACCGGTGCTGGGGTAAGGACTGGGAGGTCTGGGTGCGCAGGGCACAGGTCACTGGGACTGAGTGACCGCTGTGGTTTTCTTCTTCCACAGTACAGCTGGGGACGCAGTTACTGGTCAGCAGCTGTCCCTCTCAGAGTCCTGCAGTAGCCTGTGGCCATGTGACCATGTTCCCCTGGGGTGTGGAGACGGTCTCCCCTGGGGCATGACAGACAGTTCCCCCGAAGGGCTGGGTGACCCTCAATGAGCCCAGGCAGCATTGTCTCAGCCAGAGGCCAAGCAGGCAGCCACTGCCTACAGGCTGGCTGGGCTCTACACCTCTAGTCCACTCCTGGGAATGAATTAAACCCCCTTCATGCTTAAGCCACTGGTCTGGGATTTATTAAAGCAGCGGAGCCTATGGACTAAGTCACAGTCCTTACAAAGGCACTGGGCACATTGCAGACACCATGGCCCACATGACAGATGAGGACTCTGACACAACCCAGGAAAGCCACTGGCCTAAGGCTGAACAGCCCAGGCGGGGTGCGGTGGGGAGGGGATGACTCTGTTCAGCTCCCTTCAACACCACACTCCATTCCGGCTGCCCTGTGCTGCAGTCCTACCCCGGAGAGGGCTTTGCCACCGGTGACAGTCTCCTGTCCTCTCCTGCAGCAGACTTAGACCCCATCCCGCTCCTTCCGGATGTGCTGGGACGGTAAGGCAGACCCAAGACCCCTAATGAATTTCCGCATGAGTGTCAAGAATGCTTGCTGCTCTTTCTCCCCATTCTGCTGCTAGAGAAACTGAGGTCCAGAAGCTGGAGCCACAGGGCCCCCAAGTGAGTGTCCCATATGGGTGGCAGCCCCTTCCCCAGGGCCCCAGTCCAGCTCAGCACATACTTAGTGACATCAGGGGCTAAAGCTGGACGCACGGTCTTCCTCAGGGCCTCGATCCAGTTCCGCCGGATGCCCGAGGTCATGGCCGACAGGGTATAGACAGCGTCCTTGGTCTGCAAGTCCACACCGCAGGCCAGTTGCCACATGGCCAGCCCCACACTCCCTCCCTGCTGCAGACCCCAGGGAGGGTGGCTCTTTACTGTCAGTCTGAGGTCAGGCCAAGGAGCAGGGTGGTGGTGGGTGAAAGCTCCCCTACTCCAGCCTGGGAGGAACACACCAGCTCTGTGTTCTCCCCAGGTGTACTGGGTACTAGTACTGAGGATGGGGGTCTCTGGGTCAGCTCTGGGGCCCCAGCCGCGCTGTCCCCCTCCCCCAGCTGCACGCAGACTCACGTGGATCTGGAAGCCATAGTTTCGCTGCACTGCGAACTCCGTGACGTCTGTGCAAGACCGCAGGTCAATCTCACCGTCCAGTTCATCTGCCTAGAGCAGGGGCACCCACCATGGTCCACATGGGTCCTGGGGACACCCACGCCGCTGACCCCAGCCAGGACATCCAGCCTTCCCAATACCAGCTGCCTCACCTCCTCAGCCGTGGAGTCTCTGTAATACTTGAGGCTGGAATCCGTCAGCACGAACCAGTGCTTCTTCCACTGAGAAGAGAGGTGTGATGAGCGAGGGGCAGGGAGCTGCTGAGTCCTGGGCGGCTGACGGTCACCTACTCAGCACGGTCAGAGCCCCTCTGCTACCTCCTGGAGCCATGGCAGCAGCATCTGTGATATGGGTTGGCTTCTCCGCTGCAACCACACACCCCCACCCCTTCCCTGATCTGCTGATGGGCCTAGACCCCTCTGAAGGTTGGCAAAACGGCTCCCATACCTCCGCTGGGGAATCTCGGAGAGGACATGTAAAGGTGAAAGGTCACGTCCCCAGCCAGTCTGGAGCTTGGTGTGGCCTGAACTTGTAAGTCTTTTCCCTATGCTCCCCACCTTCTGCACTGGCACAGACTAAGGTCCAGAGGGGACTAGAAAGAGGCCCAGGGCAGGCAATCAAGCATAAGCTCTGGCATTCGTCCTGAGGATATGGCCTGGTTGTTTGTTTGTCTCACTGTAGCGTTTACACTGGCTTAGAACTATGTAGCCCAAGCTGGCCGTGAACTCTAGGTAATCCTGCCACAGCCTCTCAAGTGCCAGGCTTACTGGCACGCATCACACCTGGCCTTGCATCCTGATTTATATTCAGGGTGTTGGTGTGCGAGGCCTCTCTGCTCCAGCTGAGTTTAGGCTGGCAGAACATGAAAGAAAGAGGCAGGGGCACCAGACTGGCACGATGCCACACATGCCCAGCTCAGCTGCCTCCAAGCTCTGGTCACTCCACTGGAATGCCAGTCAAGGGAGGTCCGCCCACTGCCAGGGTTGGGCTCCCTCGTGTCACCACGCTGTCTGGATTGTTTGGTTCTTTCAAGTATTTAGCTTCCTTCTTCTGGGACATGGCAGTTTTCATAGGTGTCCACTGTTTCTTTCTGTGCTGCCGCCACTAGGGGGTTTTAGTGTCCAGGAACCCGGCCCGTGACTCTCCCTTGCTAGGTATCCATGTGCCTTCAGGCGTAGGTCTGCGCGGCTGTCACCTCCAATCTCCTGACCCGCACACTGGGCTGCTGGGAAGGCCCTAAGCTACTTGCAAGGTGAGAGGAGAGGCGCCCACTGCCCTTGCGTGTTTCCTGTGGCTCTTGGCACAGGGACAGGCACCAGGTTGCTGGGGAAGGTTGTAAGAGGCTCATGGGACTGCCTCCTGTCTGTACACCCGGAGGCTGGGCAGGCTGCACTCCTGGGGCCCTTCCAGCTGGACATTCCACAGCCCTGCGAAAGAGGATGAGTAACGGCCAGTTCTGGGTGGGGCCTGTAATCCCTCTGCCCTCTGGGGACCCTGGGTGGGGAGGCCAGGAAGGGGTCATTGGCCGGGCGCCAGCCCTTGTGTGAGTTTGGAGAGCGGCCACCAGGGGACGATGGGCAGGCGGTGGGGACGGAAGGCTGCGGGCTAGGGAGAAGAAAGCATGTGGGCAGGAAACACAATGAGAGTCCCTCTGGCTCAGAGCCCTGGCCGGCATGCGGGCTGCACACAGAGCCCGGCCACAGGCGCATGCAGGCCCGGGTGGGAGCTGTCCCCTCCCAGGTCAGCTGGGCAGTGAGCCAGCTCCAGCTCTTGGGCTCCCGCCTGGCAGCTAAAAGGGCAGAGTTGCTGAAACAGCCACTGTCCCCTCTGGTTGCAAGGCTGGATATGTTCAGGAAAGGAAGAGTCACGAGCAGAGATCCCAGTACGTACCAGGGCCTTGTGGGACCTTTTACATGCCTGATCTCTAAGTTACCCTTCATGCCCATAACACAGATGTAGCCACTGAGGCCTAGAGAAGGCTGTGCGGCTCCACAGTGGTGAGACTTCTGAGCCCCCGCTCCAAACCCCACCATTGAGGCTGAGTCTGAGAATCTGTCTTGGGCCAGGTGTTCAGCACAAGCCGTCCTGCCTCCAGACCCCCAGGTTCCCAACCAGGGTTGTCACCAGATGAGACAGCCAAGAAGCACTTAGGGCTGGCATGGGGGGGCATGATGGGCAGGGAGGTCTCTACCCTACTGCACACTTGGGCCGGACCTTTTCCCTGGACAGGAAATGCACGTTCCTGGGATTTTCACCTGACCCCAACCCCCAGAGGCCAGGGTCTGTAGAAAGTCAGACAGGCACCAGAAACTCCTGGACGGCCCAAGCCAAGCTCTCCTTCCCACCCAGCCCTCCTACCTCTCCTGGCTTGTCCAAGATTGACATCCATCCCTTCTTGAAGTTGAGCAGATCAGGCTGTGGGGAGATGAGGAAGTGGGCAAGTCAGGCCCCACAGAAAGCCACCTGGGCTGGGGAGCAGAGGGCGCTGTGCCCGCCCTGCCCCAGTCTGTCAGATGAGGTTCTGGGAAATCGGTTGTAAGAGGCAAGGGCCCAGGAATCCCCAAACCTGAGGTAGCCTCGGCCCCTTTCCCAATAGCCAGCATCCTCTGGGAGCCAGCCCGAATGGCTGACACTAACACCACAGATGTCTGAGCTCCCCTCCATGCAAGCAGCAGAAAGCAGAGTCCAGAGGACTTGGCCTGCAAAAGAGACCCCTCAGGAACCCAGCAAGCAGCCCAGAATAGCAGGCTGAGCCATCTGTCCAGGTCCTTCTTGACCAGTCCAGGCACCACCAGGACCTGCCTAGGGCCATGCCCACCCCACCCACCGACCTGCGGTCCAGCTAGCCCTGCCCTTCCTGCATCTCCTGGAGACCCGGAAAGGTGAGCGGGTACTAGGCTGGGGTCAGAAACCCTCTGGTCTCCCCCGGTCTCTTTGGGAAGGCTGTGGCACTGCAGTCCAAACAAGCCCTACCTGTCGGGTCCTGCCCAGAAGGGCACAGCCCCGGGCCCTGGGGAGTCCCAGCTGCAGCATGGTCCACAAGGGCCTGTGAGCCTAAGTCACAAAGCTGCTCATGCTGGCACCTTCCTGCCTGTGCCCGGGTGGTAGGCACCACCACTAGACCTCCTGCCTGCTGGGTCCCGCTGCAGCCTCAGCTCCAGCCTGCAGGCAGAGGCCAGCAGGGCAGTCAGGCTGGGGTGCAGGGAAGAGGCGGCCACCTGCTGTCATGGCTCTGAGCCCACCTATCAGCGCCTGCATCTGGGCCTCACCAGGCCAAGGTGTCTGGTTGCGGGGAGGGAGCCCCGTAGCAGGGCTCAGTGCAGGGTGGGCGGCGACAGCTGGAAACTAGAGCCAAATGACCTGGCCACCGCTCCCGACCTCCTTACAGGGGGCTGGTGTCCTCCTAGGTGGAGGAGATGGGCTGAAAGGGGTCTTGGGCCAGCAGCCTGGAATGCAGAGCCGGTGGGGATCTAACAAGCTGGCGCTCACTACCTCGCATACCTGTCTGAGGGAGGAGTCAGGAAACCCTGGGGCTGTGTTTGTCCGAGTGCCCTCTGTTGTACCAGCCTGTCACCCACCCAAGCGAAGACTGAAGACTGGTGACCAACACACCAGCTTTGCTTCAGCCTGGGACCACCACAGTTCAAGGGCCTGGCCCAGGACTCAGGAGAGGTTGCTGAAGAAATAGCTTCCACTTCCCAGGGCTAAGTCCTGTGTTTTGGGCACAAGGCCTCATCGAAACCTGGCCCTAACGAGCCAAGTTCCTTGGGGACAGACCCACCGAGCTGGCTTCCCACAGCTGACCAGGGTGAGCCTGGAGGACCAAGCAGGCGAGAGCCATCAGGGGAGAGACAGGCTCTGGGCCGCAGGCTTCTCAGCTGCAATGACAGGCTGCAGGGACCCCCAGGACTTCCTGGGAGGGCAGAGGCTGTGACCTTCCTAAATCACACCCTCTGCTGCCAGATATGACAAGTGACTGAGGGTCCTGCCCTTCTAATCAGCTTTCTACAAGTTCTGAACGTGCTGCAGACACAGCAGCCTGGTGACCCTCCAGGGGTCAGCGCTGACACACCACGCGTCCATGTCACACATGACCTACTGTGGTGACCTTGGGGAGAGGAGGCTGCCAGAGCATTTGCATACTAGGCAAGCATCCTACCACGGAGCTACACCCCAGCATTTTTAATTTTTTTGAAGCACAGTCTTACTAAAATTGCCCTGGTAGGCCTTGAACATCTGAGCCTTCTGCCTGAGCCTTCCAAGTAGTGGAAATATTGTGTCCAGCAAGAGTCTTTTTTTTTTGGACACAGGCTCTCTCTATGTAGTCCAGGCAGTCTTCAAATTTGAGGCAATCCTGCCTCAGCCTCCCAAGAGCTGGAATTACAGGTGTACCTCAACACACCCACCCAAAGTGAGTCTTTAAGCCCTCTAGAAGGGGAACCTGCAGCCACTGCCCATCTGGCCTCCTTTCAGGGAGTCCCAATCTCCTCAGGTGAAAGAGATGGGCCAACTGCACCCCAGCTCCCGAGGCAAAGCAATGTCTTCCCACCCACAGGGTCTCGGTCCCTGTCCCTGCTTGAGGAGAACCAACTGGCCCTCACAACCTTCCTCTCTGACCTTGGCCACAATGCCTCTAAGTACACACTGCTAGAGCCACCACTCAAAAAGAACTAGTGTTACTAGCTCCTTAAAACCTCTAAGTGGCTGGACAATCCCAGCACTCAGGAGGCTGAGGCGGGAAGATTGGTGTAAATTCCACACCAGCTTGGATTACATGGAGTTCAAGGCCAGCCTGGAATACACAGGGAGAACCTGTTTTAAAAACAAACAGAAAGCCTCCAAGGGTGGGTCAAAAATAAATTACAGCATTGACCTCGGGTCAACCCAGCCAGACCCCACCACTGGGTGCTCCCAGATCCCCAGAGCACTGACTTGGAGCCTTCACACCTGCCGTGGCCTCAGCCTGAAATGCCAGACTTCATCTGCCATTCGCTGAGCAAGCCCCTACTCATTCCCCAAGGCCCAGCTTAATTGCCACCTCCAGCAGGCGGCAGGCACCACACACGGCGCTGGCTGCCCCCAACTGCCCTGCTGCAGCCCCTCAACCAAGCCGGTCACATAACGACTTTACATGCCCCTCCTGCTGGGCATTTCTCTCATGGGGACCCAGCACAGACAGGGAGTCTTTTTTTTTTTCCTCCCCCTTTAAAGCACCAAGCATCTAGCCTAGGGCAGGACATCAGCTGTGAACAAGAGCCTCGGCCCCTGCCCTGTGGGTCTTAGGGGAGAGACAGACAGTAAACAAGAGAAGAAGGATATAATTTGATGCCTGGCTGTGCTGGAGGATGAGGCTCTCAGCAAAGCGCTGCTGGGGCTGAGGCAAGAGGGAGTGGAAGGAAGAGAATCCGCACTGCAAATCACCAGCTCCCTGACACCTCTGAGCAGTTACCCATCCTCAGCAACTGTGCCACTTGCTCTGGGCCGATTGCTGAGCTCTGGCTGTGGGACTGGGGTGATGCACCAGGGGACAGAAGGGCAGGCAGAAGGCATCTCGGAACACCAGTTCAGGTCTGAATGGGCCAAGCTGAATCCAGCAAGCACTGTGAATGCTCTCTTTTCTGCTCTGAAATGCTTTGTGGCTCCCAGCTACCCCTGCCCAAAGCCAGACTGATTTCCTGAGCCTTGAACTGCCTTTCCTTTTGCTCCCCAAACATGGCCACCAGCCTCGTCCACACTGTAGCCTCCTCTGAACACTGTGCCCCTTTTCCCAGTCCATCTCCCCTGACAAGGTCTTCCCATCACAGGTCCCATCACAGGACAGAGGCCTGGGAAGCCCTGTCACTGGCAGTGGTGACACATGGTCCCTCCTCCCAGCACCTTGTATCTCACAGCCTCACCCTCGCTGGGCCCTCGCTGCTGGGAGCAGCAACTGTGTACATTTCTTATCTCTCCCCTGGAAAAAAACTGGGAAGACTGGGATACAAACTCTGGCCCAGCCAGGTTCCAATCTCATCCCAGGATGAGTCACTTCACCTCTCTACACCTCAGTTTCCCCTGCTGTTTGGTGAGGAGGGGCCAACTAACCTTAAGGGATCTGCCAAGGACCCCGAAAGCACCCAGTGGGCAATGCGACCACCTACCCCTGGCCTCAGGACACTGACTCAGCTTCTCACCCCACACTCCACTCTGCTCCCGGCCAGGGAAGGGGAGGCTACTGACGACAGGAAAGGCCAGCAGGGAGGTGGCAGGATGTGTGGAGGCCGAGGAAGTCCAGGCAGCGGGGCCAGGCCATCACACTCGCAGGGGCAGGGGCCCCAGCACCACGCCCCCAGCAGCCCGGCCCACTCCTCACCAAGCGTCCACTCCCCACCAAAGGCTGACAGGCACCTGCGCAGACGTGCACACTCCGCTCATCCTCTTCTGCCACCAGCCTCTGGAGCCTACTAAGGCTAAGAGCCAGAAATCAAGGGCGGCACCCCCATCTCCCTTGTAAAGCACCACCTTCAGGTGCCCCATTGGCTTGCAAGGGGACCTTTCTTGCTTTGGCCAACTCACCAACGTCCCTCCCTAAGCCTCAGTGTACCCTGGTTGTAAAATGGCGAGAACAGCGACCTCGGCGGTGAGGCTCCTAATGATAAGCCACAGACACAGAGAACCCAGGGCAGAGCCCAGCCTCAAGAAAAATACAAACCCGGCGGTCACACCCCCACCCCACTCACAGCTCGCCCCACCCAAGGCCCCGGCGGCGCAACTAGAGAAGACACCACCTCAGACGTCCCACGATGGGCTCCCCGGATTTGTTCTGGTCGCCGGCCCCAACTTCGGGCAAGCACCCACATGTGTGGCCACCTTTCCCAGGCCAGGTCAGCGCCGCCCGTTCCGGCCCCAGCCCCGGCCCCGGCGACGATCCGATCCCGCCCGGCGGGTTTGCGCTTCTCCCGCGGTCCAGAGCCCCTGCCAGCTTGGGGGAACCGGGTGTTCACCCAAGAGGCGGGCGGGACGGGGAAAAGGGTCGTCCCAGACCCGTCCGCGACTTGTCCCGCCAAGAGGCTGGGCGCGTCCCCGGGACGGGTCGTTCCTAAGGCCAAGGGTCGCCTGGGCTCCCGGTGTGCCTAGCCGCGGGTCCTCCCGAATCCCCTCCGCCTCCGGGAAATGGGCTGGGGCCGCCTCCACCCGGTCGGGGTACGCAGGGCTGCAGCAGGCACTCACCGTCATGGCGACGCCCTGGCGCGGCGGGGACCGCGGGCAGGAAGGCGGAAGGGGCTCTCGGGCCGGGCCGAGCAGCGCGGGCACCCCGCCGCCGCCGCCGCCCCTCTCGGCCGCCCGCCGCTCTAGCTCCAGCCCTTCCCTTCCCCGCCGCGGTCCCAGCCCCTTCCCAGCCCATAAAACTTTTTTTTTTTTTCAAACTTCCTGGG